GGTATTCGGCCAATCACAACGCATTGGATAGCTGGCCAATCACAGCACACCTCGCTTTTTCAGACCGATGAGCTTTGTAAAAATCGACGCGTTTCAAAAAGGCGGGGCATAGAGGAGAAACAATAATGTACAGTATGTGGAAAATAATGTGTTTTTTGAACTTTAAACCGCATAAACACATTTCATTACACCAAATACACAAAATAATGTTCTTTTTAGCAGCATCATATGACCCCCTTTAAGACCCTAAAAATCAACTTGTGGCAAATGGGCATCCGATGACCCCTTTAAATGAGTATATAAAGAAAAGAAAAGCAAAAAGTCAACATTAAATGTTAATTTCTTTATGAGTCTTAAAGAACATACATGAACAACATCATACAGGCATAATACAGTGTCATGAGGCCAAATCCCATCAAGCCTAATTTTTGATTTGTAGATGCATCAAAATGTGATTCATTTTATTCCTGTACATGTTAAGTGCTCTGTGCTCAAACATCACATCTGAACTCTTGAATGATCTTAATCATTTAAAGTCATATCTCACAAACAAATCATACTCCGCCTGTAAGCTGAACATTGTCAGTTCACCTATCCTAGTTCAAGACATCCTCCATTTCATTTTCATTCGTGAGGCTGGTACTTCCATTTCTGCGGAGAGAAAGCATTCGGACTCAAACTGAGACACAAGACAAGGATGTGATTTTGAGAAGATTCATCCACTCATAAGCTCTCTGATGTCCAATCATTTGATAATTAGAGTCACTCAAAGTAAAGTGTTGCTTCGGCGTCTGCTCACAGTGACCATGCTTGGCTTATATTTGGCTTTGATACAGTCCAGAAAGCTTCTTAAGAAGATTACCTGTCAAACCGACTTCACTGAGGAGCAGAGAGGACATTTTCCCCAATGTGGTCATGAGCAGCCAACATCCAGCACCATTATGCAAAGAAATGTCATGTAATGTGGGTTCAGGGCCAGGCTTGAATGGTTAATGTAATGATGAAGATGACGATGATGGTGGTAGTGGTTCATCAAATGACAAATTATATGCATGGCTCTATTAATCTTCTGCATTAGGAATTTTTCCTCTGATCCATCCATTAGTATTCAGGTGCAAAAGCATTTCTTGGCACTGCCGTTTGGTTTGTGTTTTATGATTTCTGCTGTTCAGCTACAGCTAGTTTTCAACTAGTTCCAATTTTTCAATTTTAACTCTATAGAATGGTAGTATATCTCATCTCTTTTGTTTGTGTTTTTCATGAGCTCTCACTATGTGAAAGTTAACGTATATATCTTTATCTCTTGCCCCACTTCTGGTCCCCTTTTTCATCCTGTCATAGTCACAGCCATGGTCATATGTGTTACGCTGCCACAGAGAGAAAACATTCAGAGTGAGTTATGAATGAAAAAATTAGCATTGGACCTACTGCACAACATTAGTGTTAAGGGACTTTCATTAGTAGCAGTTAAGCAAAGACATGACACCACTGTTCAATACAATATAATATTATAATAGAAAATATTAAATGCTGAATTTCTCTCAACTATATTGTGTTATGTAAAAATGGAATCTGGAGAGAGAGATTGGAAATGGATATGTGTGGTATATTTGCTTTGCGTTTTTGAAGTGGATATATGGAATATAGACACAATTATTATTAATGATGCATCATGTTAATCCCAACAATGAAATATGGCTGGAATATTCAGTAGGTTGAATTTCATGAAATATGTCCATGTCGTTTTCAGTTATTATTATTATTATTATTAACTAAAACTAAAACCTTAAATTAAAAAAAGAATACATAAATTAATAAATATGAATTAATTAATTAATAAAATAAATATATAAATGAACAAATAAAATATAAATATGAGATGGAAAATTGTAATTGAAATAAAATAAGTTGAAGTACTAAAATAAATTACTAAAACTGAAATTACAGTAAATTAAAACATAAATTAAAAAATAAAACAAAATATAAATATATTTAAAATAATATTATTATTATAGTACAGTATTGTAAGAATATGATATCTAAAATATATTAAAATATTTTTAAAATGTATACATATAAAATAAAAATAATGAAAGTATTATTAGAATATCATATAATACTGTTAATTATACTAATATTGATGTTAAAAATATATAATTGTTATAAATTGCATAATTGTACATACGTATTAATATTTCATTGTAGTATTTATTGTACTGAATTTCATTTGTTGATATTAATAAATACAATTTCAGTATGGACCAGATTATTCATTACTGTCTTATTATAGTATTAAAAAGAGGGTTTTTAATCACACTACAATTTTGGAGGAGTAATGAAGTAATGCAAGCAAAGTAAGTCACCGTGCACCAAAAAAAAAAAAAAAAAATTGAACACTCAATTCTGTGGTGAAATATGGTCGTGGACATTTCACACAGCAACAATACATGCTCAGCTGTGCGGAGCAAAACTGATTGACATATTTACCTGTCTTTTGGCAGGGTGCAGTTTGATTCTGTACTCCTCTCTCTTCCTTTTCATCCTGTGAAAACCAGTTTAGAAACTGAGTGACAGTTTACTCTATATGACAGACATTAAAGGCCGCTTAATCATTTTATTAAGGAGCAGGAAAGCAAACACTGCAGTATAGAGATAACCTCGCTTCACTGCAAAATAACAAACTGCACACTCAGTATAAAACTTAGTGAGGCTGGCAGCGAGTGTGTTGGACATATGGTGAAGACGAGGAGGGGATGGGATTTCACAGCCAATTATCTGAGAGACCTCTTAACAGACAAACCAGATGCTTATAACTTCATACCTAATGAAAGCTATGGGAAATGCATTGTCCTTCAACCGTCAATCCAAATTCAGTCACAAGAAGTACAGAACACAAGTCTGCGCTGTTATACTAGCAATTGATCTTTCCGTACTTCCTGTTTTTAGTTATGTTAGCCCTCACGATTTCCACATAAAAATTGGGAAGGAAATCATGCTTTTTGCTGTTTATCACCTGCTCGAGCACATCCTATAACAATAAGACATCCTTACTCAAGTACTCAAGACGATTTGAATCTCAAGTGTAAAAACTACGGTGGCCCAGTAGTGTACAACACAACGAAATCTCTACAACACTACAAAATTGCCAAAACACAGCAAAATCACCACAACAAAACGCATAGGACTAATTTTGTTGTGTTGTGCTCATTTCATTGGGTTGCGGCTGGTTTACGTTGCGTTGTGCTAATTTTGTTGTGTTGTGCTTATTTCTTTGTGTTGTGCTAATTTCACTGTTGTGGCTTGTTTCTGTTGTGTTGTGCTAATTTCGCTGTTGTGGCTTGTTTCCGTTGTGTTGTGCTACTTTTGTTGTGTTGCAGCTTGTTTCTGTTGTGTTGTGCTAATTTCGTTGTATTGTGCTTATTTCTTTGTGTTGTGGCTTGTTTCCGTTGTGTTGTGCTAATTTCGCTGTTGTGGCTTGTTTCTGTTGTGTTAATTTTGCTGTTGCGGCTTGTTTCCGTTGTGTTGTGCCAATTTTGTTGTGTTGCGGCTTGTTTCCGTTGTGTTGTGTCAATTTTGTTGTGTTGCGGCTTGTTTCCGTTGTGTTGTGCCAATTTCGTTGTGTTGCGAGTTGTTTTTATTGTGTTGTGGCAATTTCATTGTGTTGTGGCTTGTTTCCGTTGTGTTGTGCTAATTCTGTTGTGTTGCGGCTTGTTTCCGTTGTGTTGTGCTAATTCTGTTGTGTTGCGGCTTGTTTCCGTTGTGTTGTGCTAATTCTGTTGTGTTGCGGCTTGTTTCCGTTGTGTTGTGCTAATTCTGTTGTGTTGCGGCTTGTTTCCGTTGTGTTGTGCTAATTCTGTTGTGTTGCGGCTTGTTTCCGTTGTGTTGTGCTAATTCTGTTGTGTTGCGGCTTGTTTCCGTTGTGTTGTGCTAATTCTGTTGTGTTGCGGCTTGTTTCCGTTGTGTTGTGCTAATTCTGTTGTGTTGCGGCTTGTTTCCGTTGTGTTGTGCTAATTCTGTTGTGTTGCGGCTTGTTTCCGTTGTGTTGTGCTAATTCTGTTGTGTTGCGGCTTGTTTCCGTTGTGTTGTGCTAATTCTGTTGTGTTGCGGCTTGTTTCCGTTGTGTTGTGCTAATTCTGTTGTGTTGCGGCTTGTTTCCGTTGTGTTGTGCTAATTTCGTTGTGTTGAGGCTTGTTTTTGTTGTGTTGTGTCAAATTCGTTGTGTTGCGAGTTGTTTTTATTGTGTTGTGGCAGTTTCATTGTGTTGCGGCTTGTTTCTGTTGTTTTGTGCCAATTTCGTTGTGTTGAGGCTTGTTTTTGTTGTGTTGTGTCAATTTCGTTGTGTTGAGGCTTGTTTCTGTTGTGTTGTGCCAATTTCGTTGTGTTGCTTGTAGTTTTTATTGTGTTGTGGCAATTTCGTTGTGTTGCGGCTTGTTTTTTTTTTGTTTTTGTGCCAATTTCGTTGTGTTGCGGTTGGTTTCCATTTTGTTGTGCCAATTTCGTTGTGTTGAGGCTGGTTTCCGTTGTGTTGTGCCAATTTCGTTGTGTTGCGGTTGGTTTCCATTTTGTTGTGCCAATTTCGTTGTGTTGAGGCTGGTTTCCGTTGTGTTGTGCCAATTTCGTTGTGTTGCGGTTGGTTTCCATTTTGTTGTGCCAATTTCGTTGTGTTGAGGCTGGTTTCCGTTGTGTTGTGCCAATTTCGTTGTGTTGCGGTTGGTTTCCATTTTGTTGTGCCAATTTCGTTGTGTTGCGGCTGGTTTCCGTTGTGTTGTGCCAATTTCGTTGTGTTGCGGTTGGTTTCCATTTTGTTGTGCCAATTTCGTTGTGTTGAGGCTGGTTTCCGTTGTGTTGTGCCAATTTTGTTGTGTTGCGGCTCGTGTACTACTGGGCCACGGAAAAAAAAAACTGCATTTATGAATAATACAGTAATATGACATACCTGTTCAGCCACGTCAGTAATAAAATCATCAGAAGAGCGACACCAACCAGCCCTCCTCCAATATACACATACAGCATGTGATGAAGACCCCTAAAATCTGAAATAAGGGATAAACAGGCATTAAACTTTAGCTAAATCAAATATTTAATTCTCCAAAAGTAAGGAAAAAATGTATGAAACATTTATGATCTGAGCTGCAGCAGGACAGTGTTGAAACTTGTGTTGTACTTCTCAAAATAAAACAATTGAGTATGAAAAAAAAGTAATAGTTTGGCTTAAGTAGTTCTTCAAAAATAGATACTAACTATCCAGAATCAAAATTAAGAACCTTGAATGCAAAATGACGTAGGACAATTTTTGGGATTTTTTAAAATAATAAAATCATTTAATTTCATGATTTTTCATGCTTCTTATATACAGTAAATCTTGTTTGATAGCCTAAGCAATGTATTTTACATGTTGTTGGTCATAGGTTCAGAAAAAAATTAACATTTTTGTATCAAAAGTACAGTTACATTTACCCTGGTTCGGTCCGTTATTACAGGTACAATGACCAAAAGAAAACTGCATTGTTTGAAAGCGATTTCTGTGTGAGCTGTGCTTCATAAATTGCTACACTACTGACAATGACTTTTTTTGGTCACAAAAAATGGCGAAAAAATTGTTGTATTTGCAAAGTCTTCGCAAAGGGGGTAAAAATGCTTATTACATGACATTAAAGGGGTCATATGATGCGATTTCAAGTTTTCCTTTAGCGAGACAGCGAGAGAGAGAGAGAGAGGGAGAGCGAGAGAGAGAGAGAGGGTCACATCACAGTGGAGTCAGCT